GATGCTAGTGCCTAGAACACCAGACGGCTCATGAAACAGGCTTCGGGGAGGACACCACGGGATCGTGGGACAGGTGAATGGCTGTTTTTTGTAGCTGCTGACTTTTATTTTTTACAGAGTGAGTGGAACTCCGATTTAAGCTGTCTTTTCAATGTTTTTTTTTTTTTCAATTGCTTAACTGAGAACGTTATTTCAGGGGGTGGGGTGGGAAGACTTTGCATTTTCATGCGTTAAGGCCCCGGCAGCTAGAACTGAAAAAAGCCACTGAGGTTTGTAGTTTCTATGCAAGGGGGGGAGGGGGGGTCCTTTGGGGTCACTGTTTTAAAAACACATTAAAGTAAAACTAAAGGCAAAATTTGTTTTTGTTCAAGATAGAGTGGAGAGGGATTAGAATACCTTTTGGGTATTTATTGCTGTCTGTGCCCCATTAGGGAGATTAACCCTCTTTATTTGTCCTGTTTACCATGATCACTTAGAATTAGAGTGAAAGAAAATCCAAAATTTAAGGTTCTCATCTGAACAAGAATAGATGGGAAATTAAAATTGAAATATCCTCCTGCGTTCAACTATGAAATTACCTAATTATTAGCCAGCTGCTATCACCTATTCCCTATACCTCAGGATGTGTAAAAAAGAATAGATGGGAATCTACCAAAGGGGATGTTTCTAATGACCTTGAGGACAACTAAGGATTCCCTCACTGTGGAGAAATTTCCGATAACTTCCTCTTTTGGATGTGGAACAGAAAGTGAAGGAAAAGTCTCCCCAGTAGGATACAGATGGCAAAAGTTTCGCCTTTAGTTCTACTTTAAAGCCGGCCATAGGTGGTTCGAATCTTGGCTGGTTCAGCAGGGCCCAACCGAGAGTCAAGCCATCAATGGGCATGCGGATTGTACCCAATTCAATTGTTTTAGGGCTTGGATACAACCAGCCTATCAGTTAGTTCATGCGATTATTGCCAGTGGCTATAGCCACTACAAATAATCATTGTGTTCTCCAGGAAGGGACAGACTTGTAGGGAACAGAATTCTTAAAATAACTTTGAATTATATTGGTATATTCAACAAAGTAAGACAATGGTGTGCTTTAATCACTAACAACCAGAGTTCAGATTTCAGCAACCTATGTCAACCAAGGACCCTTACAGTACAACTCTGATCTCTGTGTTGCACGTTATTAATAAAATGTTCAGTAATATTCTTTCCACTATATACACATTGTCTAAAACATCAGAATAAAATAATGTACGAAAATATACTGCTAAAGTAAATGTGACACAATGGCAGCTATTTTAAGAGAAGAGACAATATTCGGTCTGTCTGCTTATTAGGATACAATGACACCAGAGAGGCACAGAGTGGCAACCTGACAGGTCCTCACTAATTATTTGAAATAAAACCATAAATATACAGTACATAGCAAAATTACAATTCACAAAAAGCTTATTTGCTGCACGTTTTAACACGTATTAACTTAGATTATATACTATTAACCTTGAACAATATGAAAGCAATTACAGCTTACAGGGTCATAAAAGGTAAAAAATTAATGAAACTACAAGATATTTTTTATTACAATAAAAATTTAACCATCCAGTATATGTCAACAGACTCTCACAACTAAAAAAAAACCAGAACATTCAATACTCCACTTTTTGTTTGCTTCTCTATACAGTTTTTTGCACTGGAAAGACCAAATACTATTGAAGGTTATGTCCTTATACTGGCTTTTTATATCACTTGCGAACTCTGCAATGAATGCTCTATAGTTGGATTTCCAATTCCACCCCACTTTTTTCTATTTCGAGAATTCTCACTTTTGAAATTACCATTTATAACTAGTTGGCTCTGCAGATAAATACCGGATCTCTTTGGAGTACAGAATTAATACCTTCATTTTTAGTTTTAAGGGTAATCCTTATGATAGGCATAGGTAGTAATTAATTCTAACCCTTCCCCACACTATCCAATGCTAATAACAGTTGTCTGCAACTGGACATTAAAGGTTATTTGGAAAGAAAGCACGTTTTTTTTTAGTTTTGGCTAGAGTAGGGAAGGGATGAAATGCCTGTCATGTTTTTTTATTGCTGCCTGTGTTTGGGAGATTTCCCATTTTTTCCTGTCCCATAGATACAACAGGACGTTAGAGGAAACATTTTTAAAGGCAGTTTTCTCTAGAACAACGTGTCCCATTCCAGTTGTGTTGAAAACCGTAAAATGTTGGATTTTCCATTAAATTTATGTCCTAGAGATGACAGTCACCAAATCTGGCAGAGGTTTCAACATTTCCCTACTCTATCCAAGATTTTGGCTTTAGATACTCTTTAAAGTTGAATTCCAGCAAGCTTACTATGGGTTAAGTCCAACAAAGTGCATGCCACCTTTTGGACTTACAGTATCTCTTGTACTTATGTCTGACAGTTCTACTGAGCACCAAGAGTACAGCTATCACTATACTCCTGGCAATCAGACAGGAGAGATCCTGCTTTCACTTACAGCTGCTGCTTTGTGTTCCCTCCCTCTCTGCTGTCCATTCACAGAGAGCTTTGTATTTTCTGCATAGACTCACATAACACATAGCACTCTGTATTTGGGCAGGAGGAGGGGAGCATTTATGTGTGTCATCTTATAGATAGCTTAAAATTGTTTTTGAAATATTGTATCTATAGGAGTGCATACCTTTTTTGTTTGATTGGTCTTTTTTCACAGTTTTATTATTTGTAGAAATAAAAGTTAATTTACTTTTACGCATTTGTGTATTTTTGTGTTGGTGCCCTGAAAGTCCCATTTCCCCAATTGCACGCTATGTATTGGACTTAACCAATAGTAGTCTGGCACATTTTAGAAAGTGGCTGAATTCTTGCAGTTCAGGTTGAACTTTTAAGCTTTGGAATTAGATGCACGCTCCTGTGGTGCATTTGTCGCTCATACTACACACTCCTTCATGCAGGAAGCACTTAGGCCATAGCAAGATTAAAAGCTGAGTGCAATGTTTAGGCCCTTAAGTGTACAAAGCTTTATTTTATCATTTCAAGAGACATCTGATTAAAACAACAAATTAATAAAAAATATTGGTAAAAAAAATATAGATACTGAATAATAAAATTCATAATTGTGTGTAAGTTATTTTATCATTAAAAGTTTGTTGGAAAGATTAAAAAAAAAACAGATGGTTTGAATCTCGACGAGTTCAGCACGGACCGGACAAACTTTGTACCATCTATAGGCAGGCTGATTGTACTCAATGCAATTGTTGTACAACTTGGGTACAACCAGCCTGTTGGATTTTTAATATGATTATTTCCAGAGGCTATAGCCGCTAGCACTAATTATTGTGTGCTCCCGACAGGTGCACCCCCCCCCCCCCCACACACACACATCCTACTTCGGGAGAACATAATAGCTCCATGGAAGGGATTCCCCCATCAACTCTGGCTTTTTCCCTTTTCAACACAGTCAGTGTTGATGGGGGATTCCCCCACCTGCGGAGTTACTGTGTTCTCCCAGCAGGGGGTTATCCCTGCCAGGAGAACACAGTCATTATTGCTAGCTGGTATGGCCACTGGCAATAATTGTATGGAAAATCCAACAGGCTGGTTGTACCCACGTTGTACTACAATCAAATTGGGTACAATCAGCCTGCTTATAGATGGTTCAAATCTCAGCTGGTCCCTGCTGAACCGGCTGAGATTTGAACCATCTATTGCCAGTTGAAGTCTAACAGGTTTATTCTGTAAAGAAATGAGCTGAAGATAAATTCTGGTTGGTTAATGAATTTAGCAGTTTGCTCCTTTATTACTGCAGAGGCTTATTAGACTGAAATTTGTCCACATCTGTGTTTATGCCTTATAGATTTATTCACGTGTAACTGTTAAATTGATAATACTTCTTTCTGTGTTAAACTGAACTCTGGAAGTTGTGTAAAAAAAAAAAGCAAACAAGACAAAATACTAGCCGCCAGTGTCACCTGTTGTCTCCATGCATCTGATCTTTTCCCGTGCCTTGCTCTGTATTGTTCTGTACTGTGTTTATGTGTGATGGTGGTTGTGTTATTTAAGGTGCAGGGTTTTGCTTCCTCATGCCAGAGTCTCCAGTAAGGAGAACAGTGATGCACTGTAATGGCATCACCAAATCCCCTTTCAAATCCCCTGAGACTATCAGACAGGGGATGCCTTAGATTTCACACAATGCAGCTATATTGCTATGAGGCTGTAGGCACAGGAGTGGCTAGGTTTTGTCACATATAAGGAAGTTCAGTGCTATTTTGCAGAAATTCCAGACATAATTTAGATTTTCCAGGTTACTACATAGACACAATTATTATTTCTAAAGGTTCCCTAATGCAGAGAAAATCTTCACATTTTCTGGTCCATTTTAAGTATATTTTGCTGCAAAGTATTTAGTCCTGGTGCTTCTGCACCTTTTTTTGCTTTTTTTCTATGTAATTGTATAATCCTGGGTATACCCAATAGGCTTTGTTTTCTAACTTTTACTTCAAGTGACAAATTAAAAAAAAAGTAACTTAATGTTGAGCAAGCATTCAAAAAACATAATATGCATCTATACATACACTTAGGACAGGTGTGGATAGCTGTTTAAAAATGTTGTCATTCCTGCACCCACTGCCTAAAAAGTTAGTTAAATTCATGAGCAGTAGTCTTAGACCTCCCTACACACATATAAATTCTTTAAACCCCAGTCAAGATCCAGGGTTCATCTGCAGTATTGACAAGCTTCTACTATATTCAAAACTTAGGTCTTACATACAAAAAAAAGAAATATAAAAAGCTAGTGAGGGATTTTGCCCTCTGTACCCATTAAAATCTGAAATAGCAATTTTGGGTAATCTTACCCTTGAACAAAGCTCCTGAACATACTGTTCCACCCAATGCCAACCCTGACAATTACAAATTACGTGCTTGTATAGTTCATTGTGTGTTCCACAGCCTCATGCTGATTGGTAGAACCAACTGAATCTGTTTTGGTGGAAACATTGAACAACTAAGGATGATTTCCATAGAAAGGTGAACGAGGATACCAAATGCAGGAGCCATCTTTCCGTTGGATACATGCAAGGTTCTGTGATTCATATCCACCTGAAGCCTGTGTATATGTCCAGTTTTCCAAAAGGCATTCATTTGGTGCACTTTTATCACAAGAGTTTGCAAAACAATATGTAATCTAAGATAAAACCATTGCAAACAAATATGTTATTTTTCTTTCATAATTTACAAACTGAAAGCAAATTAATTCATGTCATATTATAACTCCTATCTAGCTACTGCATGGACTGTGGAGATATTCTGTACTTACAAAAACATTCCTGATTGACATGGGGAGCTACCATTGCTGACATCTGACTCTATAAATGCTTTTTGCGTAGATATCATGTAATGATTCCATACCCCACATGGGGGGTTGATTTACTAAAACTGGAGAGTTCTAAATCTGGTGCATGGCAGCCAATCAGCTTCTAACTACAGCTTGTCCAGTTAAGCTTTTGATGAAAAAAAAACTGAATGCTGATTGGTTTCTATGCAGAGCTCCACCAGATTTTACACTCTCCAGTTTGAGTAAATTAACCCCCAAGTCCGTCTGTCTTTGAGTGATACTTAACTCCAGTCTTTCCTTAATACACACTTCAAGCCTTTGTGAAATGCTGCCATTACGTAAAATATATGTCATATCCATCTCTTGTGTGGTATTGATTAAAAAAAAAACCGAGAGCATTACATTTATTTTCTCAACATGGTTTCTTTAAAACCCTACACATTTACCAAACTAACTCCCCTTCTGTTCATCTCTAAGATAGCTCAGAGGCTAATATTTCTGACCACACATATTACCAATTCTTTACAGAATTGGGTAAGCAAGGGAAAGGAGGGGAGGTACCCGTAGTCTGCTGGGCGGTGGCTCTTGTAAAGCTGGCCATATAATATAAAATGTTCTTGTTCAATTTCCTTTAGATTTATCTTCAACTACTTCAACTATATAGTGCAAGGGCCTGTCTGGTCGCATACAAATTGAAAATGATTAGGCCTGACCTCATATTATATGTCTTTGGTAAATCTAAAGTAAAATTGTACAAGACATTTGTATACTGTATGGCCAACCTTATGCCTAATACACACAATCAGAAAATTGAATGTCAAAAAATTGTTAGTACACAGCTTTCGAGAGCCGATCACGACAGTTCATGCAGCTATATCCGAAGGCACAAGCACAAAAATGTTTCTTGCATGATAACAGAGCAAACGATTTTTGTTTAATCAGTACAGTATTCATTCAAAAAAAATCGAGAGACCAAGACCACGCATATTCGGAAACAAAACAATACATTACATCACTTCTCTTCTGTCATACGAGAATTTTCATAACTTTAGTAACCTCTTCGTTTTCGATATGAGACTAGAACTAAAAAAAAAATGGACGACCATTTGTCCGATATTCTCATCGTGTGTACAGGGCATAAGGCATCTTTCTTTCATAAGAAGCGCTTTTCAGAAAAACGTAGAAGGAAATGCTTGACTCAAGAGGTCTAGATTTTGTTACAACAGGTTATTCTTTGATATAGTTTAGTTATATTTTTTTCATAGATCAAGGTTGCTTTAATTCAGCTTTTAGGTTAATAGATTTTTGGGATCAGAGAGGTTTAAACTGGTCTGAGGCAATGGTATCTGTTTTTCTGTTGACTAAAGCGTCACAGAGGTCTATACAGTATATGTGAACCCAAAAACATAAATGTAATATATGGCAGCTTACCAGTCCTTAGATGTGGTGCTTGTACTGGTTTTCATTTTTTAGGCGTTGGTTCTTTTTTTTTCACCTGTGATCCTATGGGTAACACACTTCTGCCCTAAAGTGGCAATGCTCATTCACAACACTGTATCTATGGTGGAGCAGCATTGTCATCCTAGACTACTTTCCTGATTTGAACTTCAAACATTTCCCCCTCTCCTCATCTCCATTGCATAGCTAAGGGGCATCATACTGTATATGCACACAAATAAAGTCCACAGATGAAGTAGAGGCTGTAGAAGTAGAGTTCAGATAAACACATTACAGTAGTAAAAAAAAAAAACACGCATAAACGTGCATAAACACATTATGCAAACGTGACTAAACAGACGTTTTTTAACCTAGGCTTTCCAGCAGTCAATTTCCATCGTTCAGAAACGTCCCATGTACATGGGGCCTTAATGTGTTGAGCTAAATAAAGCTTCTTGGTGCTCTACTCCATTCGTGGACTCTATTTCTGTACATGCATTGGGTACACAGTTTGGTTAAACTGGAGGAGGAATTGTGTAGTTCACAGAAAATAGATATCTTCTAGTTTTGTATCCTGGATTTCTCCCTTGCTACATCTCTTTAGAATTTACTGCCATAAAGGAAACCTATAGTAAGAGAAATTTGAAGACTTTAATTGCTAACCTCCTTGTGAAAATACTAGTTGCTGTAAGCTTATCCATAAGGACCAAGAGGGATTTGTGCCTTTGTGTAGCACTGGGGACAACACCCGTAGGGTGGTGCAATTTATTCACTTAGCTAAAGTCTCACTCACTCCTGGCCATGATCCTGTCTCTTGATGTTCTCAAGGCCTTCAAATCCTTGTCTTGGGACTTTATGTTGTTCGTCCCTTCACCAATAGGATTTAACTGATACCTTTCTTACTTGGATTTCGGCCCTTTATGCCCAGCCATTGCGGTATTGAAATATGCGAGTTTCGAATCACCCTCTTTTTCTATCCATCGGAGTACTTGGCAAGGTTTTCCCCTTTCTCCCATCCTCTTTATTTTGGCCTTGGAACCCTTGGCAGTAGCCTACCCAGACATCTGTGGCCTTGAACTTGCCGGGGAACTGCATAAGATAATGTTCTTCGCGGATCCTTTTATATGTCTCTTTTCCTTTTCACCTAACTTGTTTGTCACTTTGTCCGAGTTTGGCACGCTCCCTCAGCTGCTTGCCAATTAAACTAAATCTAAAGCTTTGAATTTATGCCTGCCTCCTGCCCTTCTTTGGGAGGTTCAATCCAACTTCTGCTTTACTTGGCTCTATTCACTTCCTTACTTAGGAATTCGACTGTCCCCGACTTTTGGTTCCCTTTACCAGGCTAATTATCCTCTGTTGTTCAAAGACTTGGCTGCACTTTTCAATTATTGGTCTTCCCTACCAATTTTTTGCTTTGGACGGATGCACGCTCTCTGCATGACCTATCTTCCGAAACTCTTATATTTCTTTTGGATTCGGCTGATTCCTGTGCCCCATTATATTCTGCATATAGAGAATACTAGTTGCCTGACTGTCATACTGATGTATTAGCTCCAATACTTTCGGATGGATACAGTATGCCAAAGACAAGCATGCGCATCAGGAAGGTCATTGTGAAATCAGAACTGCTAATCTTTTTCTTATAGATTTGGGTCAGTGAAAGTACTGACATTTTTGGATCAGCATGATAGCCAAGCATTTCAGAAATGGCTCCTCACCCTCTTTGGGCCACAAGCAGTAATTAAAATACAGTGATTGCTTTCAACCCAGTATTTTTTTTACTCACATTTATTGCTTTGTAAATATTCCCCATGTGTTTCCAAAGTAAAAGTGTTAGAGATATGGTGGAAGACATAACACTTACCTTACAGTTACATCCCATTTTATATAAGCCTCTGAGTCCCTTTATTTGGAATGCTGACACATCCTTCCCAACGTATAGAAAGGCCACATAGATTGATGGTGGCTTTGTTTCCCTGTAAGTAGCCTTATAGAAATAAATAACTATGTTATACTTTGACAAGGAAGATGGCATTGCAGAAATTTGAGAATACATTCAACCAGTCAGTAGAAGCCCAGTCTCTATCTGATCTAGTAGTATCAATACTAATAAACCTTACATCATTCGCTTTGCTGAATTCTTAATTTTCAGGCAATTTCAACCAGTTTTTAATTGTAAAAACAAGCAAATAAACCAACTCAGTTTCATTAAAATAGTTAAAACATTATTGCAGGTTACCTTCATTCATTCAATACTTTTTGCGTTTAAAGATAGAAATTGTCTAAAACAATGACTTGTGTGGCCAGCATAAGAATCGGTAACCACGAAAAAATCCTGGCTTTGTGTTAAATAACCAGGTGAAAAGTCAAACTTCATAATAGTAGTTTTTGGCAGAGAACCTTGTTGGGAAAATCCCACCTTTGGAATTCCATCAATGACACCAAGTGATTTTGTGCAGCAGCCAGCAGGCTACTCAATAATGTCAGTTTTAAATCCATTTTTACTAATATTTCATATACATATTTTTTTTTGCAAATTAACATTGCATTTACAACAAAGGAAATACAGAGTATTATGGCTTTTTTTTTTTTTAAAGAGATAGCACAGCAGAGCAGCTTGCTTAGATCTCTCTTTGTCTGATTGGCTCAGCTGTCTGTAAAGGGAGTCATTGATTTGAAGACTCTTTTGGGAAACAGCAGTTTCTTTCACAACAGCTGAAAACTAATCCTGCTGATGATATAAAAAGAAACTAGAGCTCCACATGCTGGCTGTATAGTAGAAAGCTCAATAACAAAAATATATTTTGTTCTGAGTCCTTACTATAATAAACAAAGGAAAAAAATACAAAACAACTGCACATGCTCTTAAAAACATGGCAAGGAATAGAACCTCTGTCAGGTTTCTTTTGCTGTCTTTTACTGGGGAGATTGTCCCTTCACTTCCTTTAAGGACAAGAAGTGATTTGAAATTATCTCCGGTGGAGGCATCCACACCTTTTTAGTAGAGGGGAAAAGGGTTCAAATTTCTGACAATATTTTATAGCTGTTTGTGTTTTCCTGTTGTGATGACATCCCCCATTTTTTCTCTAGTTTCACATGGAGTGTAGGAAGATTTCTCCAATGGGGCCATATACCCCATAAAAGTCAGAAGATTGAATTTATTTGTAAACCAAGCCCTATCTGTAAATGAAAAGCATCTACTGTATATATAACTGACTGGTTGTCTTTGTGCTGAAACTCCACCATTTTGTTGCTCCCCAGCAGCTGCAGATGAGTGTGTAAAATACCTGCCCCGCCTATGCACGTTGTGGCTTTTTCCTCCGACTGGTTTGTCCTTTAGTGGGGGATGGGTATTTACATGGGTAGAAGTGTGGAATACCTACAGAGTCTGGGAAGCAGCAAAGTGTCAGCACTTAAAAGAGAAGTATGGCCAAAGCTTCCCATGTGGGTCACAGAAGTGCAATGCTATTACTAGGCTATAACTAGAGGGAGCTCTAATGATTTGTAGTGTGACTTCAGGAGACTAACAACCAACAAGATCACATTAAACTGAATCAGCCAACAGTGGGCTAAAGTCTGGTGTCGACTGATGTCACAAAGCTGCACCAGTCTCTGGAGGTATCCTGACAATAATGTAGGGACCCACCCGGATGCCTGACCAGCAGCTGCCTGAGCTTCTCAGCCTACTACTGAGAGACTGAGCCACCCACTCCATAGCCAGACACTTCAGTGATCGTTGGAGGAACAGAACACAGCAGTGACTGAACTGAACAATCAGTATAAATGCTCTTACTTTACAGCTTGGGCTAACGTTGTAAAAAAACAAAGAAGAATGCTGGTGTCTACATAAAGAGCAGTCACTTTGTACCTGATAGTAAATATTCCACTTGGTTCAAGAAGTCTAACTCAATGCCACACATAGAAGACTGAGAAGAGGTGTACACACTATTAATGTGTTTCATCTTGTCAAAGCCTTTAAACATCTGCAATCATGAAACATATAGGCAAAGGTTATCAATCATTCTCCCGAAAGAACTCGATAAATAAATTAGCACATATTGTAACAACTCTTATGAAATTTATATGAAGTCTGCTATTGCCAATTTGCTTCTGAAAATGTAACTGCCTAGATGCCATGTTACCATGACCTTCTTGCTCACAGAGGGAAAGCTTCTGTATTTTAAGAATTCTGACTTTACTGTGACTTTTTATGTTGTATGCTTGTCTGTAAAAGTAACGTAGCCACCCACAGCCAATGAGCTAACAAAATTGGAAATATGATGAAGAAATACATAATTAGAGGTTACCTTTTTTGAAAATTTCTCAAAATGGTCAGTGGGTCCAAAAACATGAGCAGCTGAAATTAGATGCAAATCTTGGCATTTGCTATAGAAGTTGAGCTTTGTCTACACCATCTCTACTGGTTTTCTAATTAGACAGGTGGCCTCAGTTGTTCAGTTGTAATACATATACTGTAACTTCTGAATCTGTGGATCTACTGATCATTTTCTCAACCTTTATTGTTAGTGAAATGCTCTTTGCTTTGTAGGTAGTGATATATTGACATGGGAATCCGTTTAGTATCAGCTTTTGCAGCAAGTAAATAAATAAACCTCCCAGCAATGCTATTACTAGGCTATAGCTAGAGGGAGCTCTAATGATTTGTAGTGTGACTTCAGGAGACTAACAACCAACAGGATCACATTAAACTGTATGAAAGAGCAAGTGTGCAACATGTGTTTTGTGTTCTCCTCTTCATACAGGTTAGTTACACTTGGTTTATGCTCTTTGTTCTTATTCTGACATTCACTTTCTATGTTTAGTATCCTATATGTTAATAATGGTAGCTCTAACACAAATTGATGTACATTTCCTGAGACCTGTGCTGCCACTATAAAGAAAGTAATTATCTGTATAATGTGATCTATTTCTGTTTGACACATTAAACTCCGAATGAGCAAGTGAGCCACATGTGTTTCTGTTCTTCTCTTGATACAGATAATGCAGGCTACATCTTTGTCATACATTGCACTCAGATCACCGATAATTCTTTAACACTGTCATACAATATATAAAATCATCAGGAGTTGGGGGCATGTATTCCTATGTTCCCCTGACAGTTCTTTTCTGTTTGTGGCATACTATTTGTAAAAGGCTCATCCCAGAAACAGGCTTAGCTATGGTACTATGCTTGTGATAAAAAAATAAAAGATCTAAAGAAATGGTGGTGACTGGGGCATGGATTGAGCACCTGTTTACCTTTTCATAAACCACCTAGACTGGACTGATATTTAGCATATACCCTTTTTAAAACTTTTTTTAGTTCGCCAAATTGTTTTAAAAACTAATCTGAATTAAAAAATTCTGGCTTAATACAATGGTACAGTGGTAGTAGATTATAAAAAACATCAAATAAAATTAATTTTTTGCGTCTCAGAAATTAATTTTGTCCCATAGGGGATCTCCAGTTGGTAAAGTAAAATGATCAGAGAGAATCTTCAATTTTTTATTTACTTTACAAAACTGGAGAATGGGAAGGGGATACTGTCCCGCATGGGATTCCTGCATTATGTTAGAGAGCACCGAGGCAAGGATTCTTGCCCATAATGGATCCTGAGAGTTAGGTGCAAGAGTTGGGATAGAGGTGTCAGCAAATGAATAGAGCAGAATTGGATGTTACCAGGGTTGGGAGGGGTCAAGAAGCTAAAAAAAGGGGGAGAAACCTTTTGATTTGTGACTATATGTCTAATATACATTTTTCAGTTTTTGGGGTATGGATTCCTGCTATATTATCAATTTTTATTTGTATTATCAATTTGTGGGTTGGGTACTTTGGATTTATTTTTTGATGTACAGTGGCCACTGTTGCATTGGTTGTGTTGTTCATTTATGCATCGTTTGCCAAAAGGGATTTCTATATTATTTATATTCTGGTGATTTACATTATTTCATGTTTTTTGAGATATACATACCATGAAATGATGAAGTGAAGGACAATTTGGTAGGGACATACTGTATTTATTTTTCTATTAATTATTTTTAGTGTTTTTCTGCTGTATATTATGTTTTTTATTTTAGGGAATCCTTTCCATTGATGTACATTTGATTTATTATTTGCATGTATCCATATATAGTGTAGCACCCTCATAGGTAGGTCCTAGGATTAGATAGATAGGATTAGTTATATTTTTTGATATGTAAATTTGGTTGTAGAATAGTTGTAATTATTGCAAGGTAAAAGTTTAGTTTGCTCACTGTACTGTGAGCTGTGACCATTTAGTTAGGTCCTCTGTGTGCTCAGGTGCTGCTAGTCTGCCTAGCTTCTGCTGTATCCAGGAGACTGCAACATTTGTGGATGGTAGGTGTGGAGCTATGCAGATGGCAGCATGAATATGGAAGCAGCCTCAGCCTTTCCCAGAGAGAGGGGTTCTAAGGCATGCTGGGTAACTGTATATATCAGTGGTCTCTAAACTGCAGCTTTTTGCCTGCCTTTATCCGGCCCTTGGGGGACTATTCCTGCCATTGATATGAGGCATTATTTCTTACTGACAACGGCAATGAGGCATCATTCTTTCCACTGACACAAATGGTGGGTCCCCTTTCCTTCTACTGAAACCAACAATTTGGTGATATAAATGTTGGATCACTTTTCCTCCCACTGATATCAATGATAAGGAACTATTCCTTTCACTGACACCAAAGATGGGGCACGTTTCCTCCCACTGGCTTCAACAATGGGGCACTATTCCTCCTACTGACACCAACAATAGGGCACTATTTCTTCCGCTGACATCGATGGGGCACTATTATTTCCACTGGTATCAATGATGGGGCATTATTACTCCCACTAATACCAATGATGGGGCACCATTCTTTCCACTGACACCAATGATGGGGCACTATGTCTTCCACTAATACCAGTGATGGAGCACTATTCCTCTTTCTGTTGACCACATGTACTATGTAATTTTTTTTTTTTTTACTTTCACTGTTTACCAAGCGCCATGCATTTTCTACTCCCACTGGCCACATTCTGGCCCTCCTAAAAGCCGAAGGACAATAAACTGGTGCTTTTTTTAGAAAGTTTGGAGACCCCTGATATATATTCATTGAGCACATGGGGTTGTGGGTTTTTTCTGGATAGGAAGCCCACACATTGCCCTCCCAGGCAGCTACTGCCGTAGGCTTACGGTGCGCTACCTGAGGACTTGAATTGCCGAGATCTTGGTTCTGCTATGCTGACTGAGGGGCTGTCTCTTGAAGATCTGGTCTGGTATTACGGGAGCAGGCGTCCGGTTGCACTTGGGCCCCCTCTGGTGCTAGGAAGTCAGCTGCGGCTTTAGTAAAGGGAACAGCAGCTGGTTTCTCAAAGAGCTTTGTCCATCTTCCACCACTATTTGAGGGACACTGCTCTTAAGCTCAAAAGAAGTTACTGCTACTACTTTCTGCTACTGCCTTAAGCTGAAGTCCACTGTTTGATGCAAGCATGGACTCTGATAAAGCTTCCCCTGAAGATTAGACAAAGTTCTCATTGCACATAGTTTCTCATTTGGAGTATCCCACTCATCTCCCTCACCCCTATCCCAATTCTTCAGAAATAAAAACAACAAAAACAACACCCCTAGACTGATTATTGGAGAAGTGTGTGGATGAGCCGATGAGCCTATGTGCCTGGCTGTGGGGCAGAGTAACTGGGGAGGACCTGGACAGTATTCCTGCGTCTCCTACGGGAGTATCGCTACAGTAGCTTTTTAATGACTACTCATTTTTGTTTTTTTTTAATTATTTACAACTACATATTAATTATTGTCTTATTATTTATACACAATACATTTTGGTCACAGACTGACTCATGATTCCTGTTTTTTTTTTTATTAAAGGAGTTGAGAATGCTCCACCCAAAAATTGTTTTAATATTTAAAAGTATGCAATTTTGAGAAAAGCAAATCCCTGTTCACTTTGGCTACCCAATCACGTGCAGACACCTTTTACATCATTGAGTAAGTGAACTGAATATTCATACAATTTTGAGTAAAGATGCTTAACTCCTTTAGTAAGCCCAGTTCTCTTGAGAGTCTTATAACCTTAATATCTTAAGGGATGTTGTATCATTAGCACATAATTCAATTAAAGGGGATTTCCTGAAATAACAGCTATACCCTGCCTGCCTTGATTGCATGACTCTTAAAGTGTTTCTAAACCCAGGACCCTGCATTCACTACAGTTGTGGCCAAAATTATTCAACCCCCACTGAAATTGAGTGTTTTGGCCAGTTTGACATTGCTTTTGATCATTCAGTCATCTTGCTTACATTTACATTAAAGAGGCACTTGTAGGTCAGACAAATATAACATAACAGTTATAATGAAATAACCACAAATGTCTTTTCTGTGCTCACAGCATTATCAGTTTTATTCAACCCCCAAGTGACATTCAATCTTAGTACTACTTAGTACAGCATCCTTTTACAGTTATAACAGCTTTTAAACGTGAAGCATAGCTTGACACAAGTGTCTTGCAGCGATCTACGGGTATCTTCGCCCATTCTTCATGGGCAAAGGCCTCCAGTTCAGTCACATTCTTAGGCTTGCGCACTGCAACTGCTTTCTTTAAGTCCCACCAGAGGTTCTCAATCGGATTTAAGTCTGGTGACTGCGATGGCCACTCCAAAATGTTCCAGCCTTTCCTCTGCAACCATGCTCTAGTGGACTTGGAGGTATGCTTGGGATCATTGTCCTGTTGAAAGGTCCAACGTCTCCCAAGCCTCAGGTGTGTGACGGACTGCATCACGTTTCCATCCAATATCTCCTGGTACTGAAGAGAATTCATGGTACCTTGCACACGCTGAAGCTTCCCTGTACCTGCAGAAGCAAAACAGCCCCAAAGCATGATTGACCCTCCACCATGCTTCACAGTAGGCAAGGTGTTCTTTTCATCATAGGCCTTGTTCTTCCTCCTCCAAACATAGCGTTGATCCATGGGCCCAAACAGTTCTAATTTTGTTTCATCAGTCCACAGAACACTATCCCACAACTTTTGTGGTTTGTCCACATGGCTTTTGGCATACTGCAGTCGACTCTTCTTATTCTTTGGAGACAGCAAGGGGGTACGCCTGGGAGTTCTGGCACGGAGGCCTTCATTACGCAGTGTGCGTCTTATTGTCTGGGCTGAAACTTCTGTACCCACATCTGACAAATCTTTTCTCAGTTCCTCAGCAGTCACACGGGGACTTCTCTCCACTCTACGCTTCAGGTAGCGCACAGCAGTCGAAGTCAGCATCTTCTTTCTGCCACGACCAGGTAGCGTTTCAACAGTGCCCTTTGCCTTGAATTTGCGAATGATGCTTCCTAAGGTGTCTCTTGGTATGTTTAACATCTTTGCAATCTTCTTATAGCCATTGCCCTTCCTGTGAAGAGAAATCACCTCTTCTCTTGTCTTCCTGGACCATTCTCTTGCCTTCACCATGTTTGTAACCACACCAGTAAATGTCTAGAAGGAGCTGAGTATCACAGTCATTTTAAAGCTGCCTAATTGGTGCTTATTATGCTTGATTGCTGCTCGGTGACATCCACAGGTGTTTTCACTACCTGATGGAAAGCACCTGTATGAACCTCTGTTCTTCAGAGTGGTAGTCTTTAAGGGGTTGAATAATTGTGGCAATGAAGAAACCACATAAGAACCATTTACTACTGTATTACATAAACAATTGATGTCATTTTAGTTGCATTTGGGTAGTTACAACGTCCTTGTAGGATTTGATTCTGAATACAATTCCAAATGTACACTATAGTCCCTAAACCCCTTTACAGCATTGGGGGTTGAATAATTTTGGCCACAACTGTATATCTGGTCTCCCACAGTACACAAAACATGGAAATGCAATTATTTTACTAAATATAAACTGCTAAATACCTTTTTTCATCAACAGTTAGAGCAGTCTTGTGACTTCTATCAGTGTCCAGCCAAGCACATGTAAAGCTTGTAGGAGTTTTCATTCTGCTCTAGGAGGATGCAAAACCCCTGACCTCTGTCTGGACAGTGCTGATTGGCCCTATGCTGATCACATGCACTGTCCCAAGAAAAAAAAAAAAAAAAAAAAACCTCTCTAGCAATACACACCAAACTGAGCATGTGCAGAGTGTCTCCACACATATGTCTTATCAGGAGATAAGAGGGAGACGGAAGAAGGGGAGGATCAAACAGAGTTTTTACACAATGCAGAGGATTAACCCCTTAGGTTACACAGTGAGTATAACAAGCATGCTTTACTGCATATACAGACTGATTTTACTGTTGTGGGTTTAGTAACACTTTAAGATAGGAATTGTCATTTTATGCTCAGACTTCAGTCTGCCAACCAAGACAAACACCAAAGAGGTTGATCTAAGAAACTGGGTGAGAGGAATCTATCCACATTTCTTCATGGAGGGGTTCAAACTTGACAGAGAATTCCCATTTAAAGGTCACCCTTCTCTTTTTTTAAAATAATATTTAGTATAAATAATGAAAACATCCTGAAATGGTGAAGCAAAAAATTTGAAAAATTATGTAATGGAAAACAGGAAACATATCAAGGGATAGTGTATAGAGAGGAGCCAACACAAATTTTAATTGGAGAAAATATATTAAATTGATGCTTGGAATGGAATTACTATATTCTAAGAAGATAGTACATTTATATTACCTCGATCAGTGTGATACCATATCTGAATTCACCTTCAGCTTCACGATTATTATTTGCTTTGATAAACTGTTTGCTGATTACTTTTCCACGAATCACTAAACAAAATGGATCAAAAATGAACAAAGTTATTCATACAAATAAATATTGCATGAAGCACAATAGGATCACCAAAAAAAACGTTTCAAACAGGGAGTAAAATATAAAGCTTATGCAACGAAAAAATTCACTTATGGTGGACTTTGTTACAATATATAACAAAAGTTTAATTTATTAAGAAAGCTTTACTATAATAATAATAATAACTGTCAGTCTTGTCCTGTCCAGTGACTATGCCTAGGCTGAGATGATGCTATCATTCTGCTGCAGGCAGAAGGAAGCATTTTCTCATTCTCTTTTCACCTCCATTGATAAGACTGCAACATTTTAACTTTGTAGTAGGGTGAGATGCCACGGCACAGGGCTGATTTGCATCAGACATATTTGAACACCAAAAGTTGCACATGTACCAGGATTTACATGATTGCCATATTTGTGCCAGGATCTTAATCTAAGAAGTAGATTCTGGAGGAAACCTGTACAAAGATGGGTCCATTGTTCAGAGGAGTACTGTGATCTTTGTAAGAGGTAGCAAATGCTTATAGATGTCACACTTAAATATTATGTAGCATGCATGCACTTAACATTAAAAATATATTGTCTGCTAGGTGTGCTTAAATTATTTTGCACATAATATGAAGGACATGTTTTCTGTAAATTATTATTTCATTGGTGGGTTGAATAGCCTGCTGAGGTTTTACTGCCTTGCAGATTGACTCCTCAACAACCTTTGAAGCAGTCACTTGACTTTTCAGTGTCCTTTTGAGCTGCAAGAAAGTGGGAATTCTTGTTACTGACATCCCCAAGAGAAAAAAAAAAAGTCAGTGTGTTATTTAGTTTTCCAGAAATATCTAAAGCCAGGGTTGTAAAGGTGATTTGAATCCTTCATCAAATAGATTTTAATTGTAAAAAAAAGGAGAACCTACCCTGAGTTCCATTCCGGACCTATATCGGTGAAGTGGATCCGTGTTGATTTACATACTGCGTAATTAAATTACACTTCTGGTGAGTGCGTACGTCTTACCTTACCACTGGGAGCACCAGCACTGGATTGAAAGCTGTAGATCATGCTATATTCATCATAGAGACTATCACTGATTTATGTTCTTATCATTGGGGACATTTCTCACATATATTTTATTATAATTTATTGATTAGCGCTGCAGATATTTTTATACGTTTATTACAAGGCTTTGTTTGGTTTCCTTGAGTGTTCAGCTGCTTACCTTACAAGAAAACTCACTTTCATTGCTATTTTATTCCATTTATATTAATAATTCCTAGCCAAACGTACTTGAGTGTGCCAAACATCTCACAAGTTCCAAAGTGAATCCAAGACCCATTAAAGTTAATAGGGGACAAATCTTTAAAATCAGTTGTGGCCATTTTCAAGGCTAACAGGCAATGGATTATCAAACATGGCATAGGGCTGGGAACTACCCTTGTGGGCATGTACTAAAATTTTGGAGCTCTAGGCAAAAGGTCCTACTCGCAATGTCCAGAGACATCTGCACAACCAACCTACCTGTGACACTATTCAGTCAAAGAGGGCCTTCTCTAGCCCGACTTCCCAAGTTAGTGTCCTCCAGCAAATCGTCTTTAATCCAGGCTCCATCAGGACATCCGTCAAGCTGAGGTCTGATACCAACAGCTTTTTAGTAACACAGGCTGCCTCCCAGGGCAGAGGACCCAGGAGAGAGAGTTCTGAACAGACCTTCTAAGACTTTTATCTTCTCCCCAGCCACACATTCTTGGCCTACCTACCAGGGATTGTCTGAGGTCAGATAAATATTCAAAATGCAATAGCTGACCCTCCTGCTCTATTTCATCAACCTTCCTCCAGAGGCTGGCAGGATTGATCAACCACCAGGCTTAGGGAGACGTGACTAGACCTAGAAAATAAATTGCTGCTTAGATGAGTACGGCAGAGCTGAAAACTAAATTTATCCACCCCAGGGCCAGGGCATTACATACCAGAAAATGGGTTTTCTTTCCTTCTAAAAGGTCACCTTTACTGGTTTGCTGTAGTATACCACACAGCTAAAATGACTAAAAATGTGTGGGGTTCCCCCTAAAAATGCATGCTAGACCCTTATCTTTGATGAGGGTCTGCTATGGATTTAAAGGTGACCCAATGCAAAAAAAAAGTCATCAAGGGCCTTACAAACTAAGGTAGCAGAGCTAGTATATCCATACAGGTGATGCATATTCATTTACTTTATATAGAACGCCTGCCTGCAGCTCAGCTTTAGAACATAAAATATATAAAAAGTCGTCATGCTGTATGGGACAGAGCTGCCATGTGGTTTTACATGAAACAAAATTCATCCAGTTCCTGCTGAACTGGCTGAATCTCCATCAATGTTCGGCCAGCTTTACTCTCCTGCTGACAACACTTTACAAAACAAGAAGTAGTGAAACGCCAACAACCACTTAAGCTGCGGAAGGTTTTACCCCCTTCATGACCAGGCCATTTTTTCCTATTTAGCACTGCACTACTTTAACTGGTAATTGCGCAGTCATGGCAACAGTGTACCCAAACTAAATTTCTATAATTTTTTTCACACTGATCACGTGTCAAACACAAGGGCCAAACCTGGCCCATCAGGCCATTTCATGTGCCCTTGCACCTCTCCTGCAGCCGCGGCACCCCCCTTGCCTCTACCCCCACCTTTTCTCAGCAGTCCGCAGCAGAGAGGAGGACAGATTTCCTCCGCCAGATCCTGAGCTTCTCCGTGCATCCACAGAGAGGCTTATCTCTGGCCCCCCATCTCAGCAGTCATCAGGAGAGGAGGCCAGAACTCCTCCTACAGATCTTGCACCCCCTTCTCTTCACCTCCATCTGTCAGCTGACTCCATCCCTCCTCTGGTCCTTCTCTAGACTCTGCACATTCTGCTTCCCAGCTCTGCCCCCAATGGGGGTGCATGGTGATTTAACGAAGGGTGGGAGACTCTTGACTTCTGATGTGGGGGGGCTGTTGACATCTGATGTAAGGGGGGTTGCGCTCTTGACATTTAGTCTTACAGATACAACTGGCCCTTTGAGGGCAACCATAATGTTGATGTGGCCCGCAATGAAATGGAGTTTGACACCCCTGACATAGCATTTTCTTTAGGTTGTATTTCATCACCACTAGGTTTTTTAATTTTTTTGTGCTCTAAATGTAAAAAGACTGAAAATTTAAAAAAAAAAAAGCTACATTTTTTACTTTCTGCTATAAAACATATCCAATAAAAAAAAAGCAAATGTCTTCATAAATTTTGGCCAAAATGTACTCTGCTACATGTCTTTGATAACAAAAAAATCCCAGCAAGTGTATATTGATTGGTTTGTGTGAAAGTTATAGCGTCTACACATTATGGGATATACAGTATATTGAAAAGTTTATTTATTTATTTATTTTTTAATACTGCCAATGGAGGTGATCAGCGACTTATAATGCTACTTTGATAGTGTGGCGGGCAATCTGATACTAAGGAGTTTATTTACTAAAGCTGGAGAATGCAAAATCAGGCTCACTTTTGCATAGAAACCAATCAGCTTCCAGGTTTTATTGCCAAAGCTTAATTAAATTAGCTGAAGTTAGAAGCTGATCGGTTTCTATGCAGAAGTGAGCCTGATTTTGCGTTCTCCAGCTTTAGTAAATAAACCCCTAACTGACGCTGAGGGGAATTGACTAACTGCCACTGACATCTCCAGTGGCACGAATGCAGTAGTCAGTGATAATACTATACACTGTCACTGTATTAATGACACTGCCTGGGAAGGTATTGACATCTAGGGCGATAAAGGGGTTAAATGTCTGCCCAACACTGTGTAATGTGTATTATGTCTTACTTTTACTAAAAGATCTCTTTGTTTCTCATCCCTGCTTTGCAGGGATGAGAAACAGAGATTGTTCCCTCAGAGCCCTGTGTTGATTTTCAATGCAGGTCTCTGGGCTGTGGTTGCACATAGCCAATCAGCAATCATTGGCCAGCACCTGCTGAAAGCCCCCTCCTGTGTACAATCACAGCGGGTTTTGTGGGGGCATGTGTGCACGCGCCGTAAACCAGGAAGCAGGCAGTGACATACCAGTACGTCGCTGTGCCTGCACGGGCTGCTTGCCCGCAGTACATTGCAGGTGGGTGGTCTGGAAGAAGTTAAAAGAGTCAGGAAAGGTTGGAACCAATGTCAGATTTTTACTCTATATGTGTCTCTGTTGTGGTGCAGACTTTTTGTCACTTCTGTCTGGTGAAATCATTTCTTATCTAAAACTAGAAAATAAGGGACGTTTCTGAACGATGGAAACTGACTGCCGAAAAACGTAGGTTAAAAAAAGCCTGTTTAGCCGCGTTTGTATAACACGTTTATGCGCATTTGCGTTTAGAAGCGTTTTTTAAAGATAGGCACAGGAGAACCTCCCAAATGCCCAGAATGCACTGAAAAGTGTTAAATTATTAAGTGTTTCAGACTGATTCAGAGAAATACAGAGAGTAGAAGCAGAGATAGCAGTATGTGTTGAGATTAGCTTAGGTGTGAGTTGCTCATTAACATTTATTTTGTTTCCAAGGGTGGGAAAGGTATCTGGTGGAGTGAGTCATTAAGGCCACCTGGCAGGGGGTCCTCATGAGGAATTTGAGGTGTGAATGATCATTAACATATCTTTTGTTTCCAAAGGTGGGAGAAGTCTGAGGTGTGAATTGGTCATTACAATGTGTGACAAGCTTGGTAGGAACATCCTGTGTTCAGTGTTTTGTCCATCAGAGTACCTTGAAAACTCTGCATGCATTTTTCATGATGAAAAAAAGGCTCTGGACAGCATTGGGAACTGGAAGAGTTAAAAAAAACAATTTCAAACGCAAACGCTTATAAACACAATTTGTCGCGTTTAGCCGCGTTTATTCTGCGTTTGAAATGCTGATAAAATCGATGTCCGAAAGCAAGTTTGTTGTGTTAAAAAAAACGACTGTAAACTCGTAAACTGTAAACGACTGCAAACGAAGCTGGGTACATGGACAC